AATTGCACGCAGTACTCTAACTGTGGTCTGACCAGCGCCCGATAGAGGGGAAGTATCACCTCCTTGGACCTATTCGTCATGCATCTGCTGATGCACGATAAAGTGCCATTGGCTTTTCTGATGGCTTCGTCACACTGCCAAGTCATGTTCATCTTGGAGTCCACTAGGACTTCAAGATCCCTTTCCACTTCTGTGCCACCCAGCAGGTCATTCCCTAGGCTGTAGGTGTGCTGGACATTTTTCCTCCCTAGGTGCAGCACTTTGCATTTCTCCTTGTTGAATTGCATTCTGTTGTTTTCTGCCCACTTGTCCAACCTGTCCAGATCTGCTTGCAGCTGTTCCCTGCCCTCCGGCGTGTCCACATCTCCCCATAGCTTTGTGTCATCTGCAAATTTGGACAGAGTACATTTCACTCCCTCGTCCAAGTCACTGATGAAGACATTAAAGAGTATCGGTCCAAGAACCGAGCCCTGTGGGACCCCACTGCCCACACCCTTCCAGGTCGAAACCGACCCATCCACCACGACTCTCTGGGTGCGACCCTCCAGCCAATCCGCCACCCACCGGACTGTGTAGTCGTCCAAGTCACAGCCTCTTAACTTGTTCACCAGTATGGGGTGGGACACCGTATCGAAGGCCTTCCTGAAGTCTAAGTATACGACATCCACTCCTCCTCCTGTGTCCAGGCGTTTCGTAACCTGGTCATAAAAAGAAACTAGATTGGTCAGGCACGATCTGCCTGCCACGAACCCGTGCTGGTTTCCCCTCATCATAATTTGTCCTGCCGGGCTCTCACAAATGTGAGCCTTGATAATTTTTTCCAAGACTTTGCCAAGGATGGAAGGATGGCTACCTCTTCCTCAAGTAGCCTCTTGCCTATGAAAGCTTATGGTTTTTGAGCAAATTAAGTCTTTAAGGTGCCCACCTGCCCTACCTTCTGCCTATCTTCAGTTGGCTTTATTGACTTGACAAATTGTCCATCTGCTTCCGCAGCTTGAGAGAGAGCAAGCGAGTGAGCCCTCAGGTACATGCAAGAGGTTGTCACACCCCTCCTGCCTGTTCACAGCCATTCAATGAAAACTTGGGATTTCTTGGAAATTAAGTAGTTATTTCCACAGACAAATTAAGCTTAATGGTGAATTTACTGCCTCTGGTTTGGAGCCATTTACCCAAAGTCCCAAATAACCCAGTAGGTTGCCTTCCTCTGCCTTTATAGATGTTCTTTTTATTGTTTTAGTTTATCCATAAATCCCTCTTGTTCTTTACAATGCTAAATGAAGATATGACTTCCCAGTTGGAAAGCCTTCCATGCTGCTTGGAGTCCTCCTTGCACTGGCAGAAAGAAACAATTGAGCTTTGAGTTTGAACAGAGAGACAGATAAGATCACCATTAGATTTTCGCAGCAAATGCAGAATACTTTCTTCGCTAATAGGTTTCTAGTGCTATCTGACAAGTAATTGAATTGCTGGGGTGGGGGAGCTGATTTTGTATTGCTCCCAAATTTTGCAGGAGAGTCAGAAGTGAAAGGCTGTTTCTGTGCGTGTGATCCCCAGAGATAGCTGTCAGAGATATGGGGAGCTAATTAAAATGTCACTATATGTACATGAGGGTGACCAGGCGGAAAGGGTTGCTCATCTCCTTGGTTCAAGGGGCTCGCCTGTGTCTTTTCTCCCATCTACAGACTGCTTAATCTGCTGCAGCAAGTAATTTGTGCTTTGGGGGTAAGAATGAGGCCACTGGGTAAGCCTGGCCTATTCTTCTCTCCTGGGTATGTCAGAAAATAAATTAAATCTTCTCTTGCTCCACTGTAATTAATAGGGCATTTTTACTCCAGTCAGGCAGGAGCAAGGAGGTATTTTCTTCCTCTCCCTTAGCAGTAAGTACAGCTGCACCATGCCTTGCCTTGGGGGAAGTTAGAGCTGGGTTGGGTGTAGGCTTTCCACAACTTGCACTTGATAATCAGCAAAACAGATATACTCCATTATGTAAAGTGGCCAAAGCAAAGGTGTTTCCTTCTTACCATGTTCTTCCCTCTCCCCTCCTCCTAGGTTTAAAGCATAAGATGTCCTGGCCAAACAATAGGATAACTAAGAGTGATATAATCATTTCTCCCTCAGTAAATTCCTGTAAAAAGACCAGAATATTGGAGGAATTGTTTAATATGGCACCAGGGATGCTGCTAGAAGTGTAGAGTAAAATTGAGAGTAAAAACAGAGTTGATCTTTGGGGGAAAATGTTGTAATTATATTTTATGATTTATTACTATTACTACCACTGTTATTACAGTTATTAATGATTAATTAGAATGCAGAATAATTGCAGTTGGACTCAACAGAGTGCTGGTCAGTTGAGTACAGCGAACAATCCTGTATTGCTAGGGATTGGGCAAGAAGACGAGCTAAAATTTTCCCCCCATATTAATAAAGAAAACTTCCATGGCATCAGTTTCACATTTATTGTGGGCTCTTCTTCACTTGTCTGGGGAGGGGTTGTCAACTTTCCCTTCTTTGGCAGATGACCTTTGCGTGCAACATCATGATATTCCTCCTGGTTGTAGAGAGAGAGATTCTACTTCATGGTGGGTCCTTTTATTCTCTTTAGTAATAGCTAACTCATTCAAATGCCAGCTCAGGCAATGTCCTGTTTCTTATGGGGGGAAACCAGCTGTTCCTAGAAATACTAGCATTCAACTTGGTCCTGGGAATACTAGCATTCAGTACTGGCATTCAATTTCAATTTGTTCTGAGGACTCTACATTGTCTTCTCAGTGAGAAGATTTTGGCCTGTAGGATAGAGGTTGGCAACCTAAGGCCCACGGAGCCATTGGATCTGGCCCACAGAGTAGGGGCTTCAACAGTGGCAGTGCTTCACCTACACCACTCTCTATCATGCTGCAGCCAGGTCCTTTGTCCATGCCGTGGCTGGGCAGTGGAGGGAAGCTGTGGCAATTGGATCCTTGCACTAGCTCATCTTCCACCTAGGCCGAGTTGTTTCAACCTGCCGCCAGAAAATGTTGCTGACCCCTGCTATAGGAGATCTAGAATCAACACACTTCTAAAATGAAACCAGAGGTGTTGCTTAATATTGGGACACATGGTTTAGTTCCTGGATATCTAATGTACATAAAGGGGAGACTGGGTGGTCACTTTGCTGGGGCCACGTGCCCCCAGTTGTCTTTCTTGCCTGGTGCAAAGGGCTGGACCTGATGATCCCTTCCAGCCTTACAAGCTATCAATCTGTGAATCTAAGACAGCACTTCCATGTAAATACATAATAGAAAATCACCCCAGTATTTCTTGTCCAGAGACGCCTCACTCAGTCCTTTATAGTTCTCAAGATTGAGATGATGAAAAAGGTTTGATGTCAAGACTATGGTTCTTTACCAGTGGCCAGCTTCTGGCTGTGGTTAGGAAGCAGATCTTCAGGTTGAAGAGGATCATGGAATCAATAACCTCTTGGTTCTTCTCTGCTATTTGCAACAGATCAGTAACAGTTTGTTCCTTTTGCCTGCCAGTAATCTCTCTTCCCCCTGGCTAGCTCCATTTGGACCGTAAGCTTCCACGCATTTTTGTTAATTGCTTCTGGGTAGAGCTATGACATTCCTCCAAGATCTGCCAGCTGGTAGGCCCTTGCTGTGTGGATGCAGGCACGTGGCTCTTCTCTGACATTTATGAAAGGGAGATCAAGTTAGCACAAGGAGCTTACATTTTCATGGCTCTCGCCCAGCTGCTGCGTGCTGCAGAGATGCAGGCCACCTGATTGGCAAGTCTTGGCTGCAGAGCAGATTAAGCCTGATGATGCTTTATGGCAAAAAGTTCCCTGACCTCAGCAAAGGCTTTCTTTTCTTTTCCTCCCCCACCCCTCCTTTCTAAGTAAATAACCATTTCTTTTTTCTTTATGGAAAGAGGCCAGTCTGCCCAAATTCCCTTTCTTTGTGACATCAGATCCAAATAACTGCACAGGACATCAGGCCATGCATTTGCTGGAAGAAAAGGATGAGCCTGTTCTAAAAGATTTGCAGTCACACAGC